AGCGGTCACTCATACACTGTGTATTACAGTAGAGCTAAACGACAATGTACAGCAAGCTGACAGGGAAGAAACCTAATGTAGACAGTATACAGGCTAATGTTGGCATTATTCTTTTAATATTCAGTTTCATTGTCACCTTTAGGCCAGATTGTGAAGAGAAGTGGTGAAACAAATCCCGCAGAACCTTCATCTTAATTTCGTTATTGCCAAATACCGATCATAATTTAGAATTTATTTTAATTTAATTTAAGAAAGACTTCTTTTCATTGGTGTGTTGGCCAGTTTAAAGGCTAAGTGTATGTACCTAGGACTATTTAGAGTGCTGAGATGTTACGATGTTACAGAGTACTTATTTTATAACTTTTAGGTGGCCTACCACTTATGTTTGTTATAAATATAAATGATGTAAACAGGTTCAGGCTTTATAAGGCTGACAATCAAAATGGACCTGTCCGGCTCGGGCCGAATTCTGTCAGGCTCGGGCTCTAGGGGACCTAATTGTTATGGACTGATTTACAGCTCTGTTGAGTACACCCTCTACAACTCTGTGTGTTCAACTACTTGTGCAACAGGCCTCAACTTTCTTCAAAATGACTTTTTGTGAATAAATTATGACAGAATTTGCATTTTTTGTGAACTGTCCCTTTAACAAATACTTTAATATAGATAGACAGACAGACATTTCATTGAAAAAGAAATTCTGTAAGCAGCGCTGTTGAAAAAATGAGCTGACATGACTTCACTGCAACTCGTGTATTTTGTTTTCTTGTTTTCTCCAGCAGCAAAAGTACTTTGATTCGGGCGATTATAACATGGCCAAAGCCAAGATGAAGAACAAGCAGCTTCCAGCAGCGGCGGCGGAGAAGACGGAGATCACCGGAGACCACATCCCCACCCCTCAGGATCTTCCCCAGCGGAAACAGTCACTGGAGGCCAGCAAACTCGCGTTCTAATGCCAGTCCTGCTGCCTGCTGCTCCTTACATTCATCTTACTGTTTCGTCTGTCTTTTGCTATCCTTTCGTACTCTTGTTGTCTTCAAATATAGAAACACTCTTGATATAATATACTTGTTTTTTTGTCAACTCTGCCACCATTGCACTTGGATTTAACTCGCAACATCAGTGCCAAGGTTTAAACGTGGCGGTCTAACCAAATAAGTCATTTTGACGTTATTTTAGAGTTTTACATTTGTTTTTGTTTTCTCATAACTACAAGACTTGCATGAATATGGACTGGACTTAAATAATCACATCAACCTCCTCTGCCAAATCTGTGCCTCCTGTAAAAAACAAAAAGGCCTTGTAGACGTTATCCTGATGAGCTGAAGAAAATCGACGCACTCTTAATAGTTAGGTTTGTTGACATTCGCTGTTTGCCTCTGACTTGTTAATTATGAAAATGGCCTTAAAGCTGTTTGTCTCTCTCGGGTCGGGTGATGTTTATCTGCCCTCTCCTCTTTGATTGGTCGATTAGGTTGTGTTGTCATAACCCAAATGATTTATCTGAGCTGTACAAACGTTTACTGTCACAACTGTGCCATTGTTTTGTAAATAAACTAGTTTTGCACATGCGCTGTCAGACTGATCTGTAGTTTCTGAAATTCATAAGTTCTTTTTAAAAGACGTATATTTTGCTATTACAGAAAAATTGAATGTTTAAAAGTATTTAAGCTAGTATTTTTTGCTATCATTAATCTATAACTTTTGGAGAAAAGCATGTAATCATTTTGGCTTGTTTAAAGTCTAATCTCACAATGAAAATAACGAAGGCATGATTGAATCTAATAAACAGACTGATCATGGAATAATTACCCAATGATTTGATATGTTCAGTTTGAATTAATTATTTTTATTCAATTTATAGGTCTTTCAAATGTTACTATTTTTACATCCATGTTATTTTAGATGGACTTTTTGAGCTGCTTTCCTGTAATATTTGAAAGGTCAAAGTCAGTTTGAAAATCGGTAAATGTATATAATTTGAGCAACTGTTATATTATAAATGTTATTTGTAAAAGACAGCTTCCTGTAGAATCGAGGAATATACAAAAGCCGTTTTAGTAGATTGATACTAGCCAAGAGATACTATAGTAGATGGTTTCTCTATGTTCGTTAATCTGGTCTCAGTGCAGTAACTTGTAATCACCACAAGGCGGCACTGTTTAACCACATTTAATTGCCATGCTGTCCTAAAAATTCATTTCAAGCGACTACAATGTTGCCAAAACCAAAATGATAAACAAACTAGCATTTGCTGCAGTAGAAAGGACACCCATGAAGGAATAACCAGCTTAAATTTTAAATATGCATTATTTACGTTAGTATTACTGGTACAAAAAATCGACTGCACTTTTTTCATCATTCATTATAATCGAATTATAGTTGCATTAGTTTTAAACATGTGTTTCTGTTCTTATTCCAAGTGTCAATGTGATTAAAGCTCGTGGGAGTAGCTGATAACTTGATAAAATGTTAAGTTACCTGCTTGTGCTTGGTTAAAGTGCAGTAACTCAAAATTGCCGCAAGACGGCACTGCCAAAGCCAAAATGATGAACAAACTAGCTCCTTACTTACTTTAGTATTTTATGGACCTAAACCCAAAAGACTTGAAGAGACTTGAACTTATAGAGATGACATTGATGAAGGAATAACCAGCTCACATTTTAAACATGCATTATTTACTTAATATTTTCTGGACTCGAACCCAAAATATTTCATTAATCATTTTTAGCAATTTACAATTGTAGTATTTTAAGCGTTTTTATTTTTGTTTTTATTCCCAATGTCAATGTGATTAAGGTCGTAGTAGTAGCTGATAACTTGATACAATTTAAAGTTTTCTGCTTGTGCTTGGTTAAAGTGCATTAACTCATAATCGCCACAAGGCGGCACTGTTTCCCCACCGTTCATTACCATGCTGGCCTATAACTTAATTTCAAGAGACTGCAATGTTGCCAATGTCAAAATTATGAACAAACTAGCTCCTGCAGCAGTAGAGATGACATTGATGAACGAATAACCAGCTTACATTTTAAATATGCATTACTTGAGTATTTCTTGACCTAAACGGAAAAGACTGCATTTTCTTTGTTATTCATTATAATCAAATTAGATCTGTAATAGTTTTAACCCTTTTTTGTTTTTGTTTTAATCCTAATATGATAAAAGCTCGTGGTAGTATCTGATAACTTGATAAAATTTTAAGTTATCTGCTTGTACTTGGTCTCAGTGCAGTAACTCAAAATTGCCACAAGACGGCACTGTTTCCCCACTTTTAATTGCAATAGTGGCTTAAAAAATATTTTCAAGCGACTGTAATGCTGCCATAGCTAAAATGATGAACAAACTAGCTCCTGCAGCAGTAGAGATGACAACGATGAATGAATAACCAGCTCACATTTTAAATTTGCATTATTTACTTGAGTATTTCTGGACCCAAACCCAAAAGACTGCATTTTCTTCGTTATTCATTTTAATCAAATTAGAGTTTTAATCGTTTTAAGCGTTATTGTTGTATTTTATTCCCAATGTGATAAAAAACTCGTGGTAGTGGCTGATTCCTTGATAAAATTCTGCTTTCTGCTTGTGCTTGTTTGAAGTGCAGTAACTTATAGTCACCACAAGAACACATAATCGCCACACTGTTTTTCCAACATAAATTGTCGTTGTAGTTTGCTTTATTTTGTTTTTATATCTGTATTTAATTGTCGAAGTCAAGATGCTGAACTTCAGGCTTCTTGCAGCATTATAAATGACATAAACATGCAAATAGCTTATATTTTGGGTATTGATTGTTTGTCTACACTTGAAGATCTGGTCAGAGTGCAGTGACTCATAATCGCCACCCGGCGGCACTGTTTCCCCCCTCTTCATTCATAATGTAGCGTTTTTCATTTTTTTATGTTATTATATGCTCAGCACAAATTATGAGCTACAAATTTCAGTCAGCATCAGGTGATATGTTAAAATAAGCTATTTTTAGTAGGGGAAATTATTTTTTACACAGCTTTGAGCATTATCTAAAAATCACCACAAGGCGGCAGTGTTTCCACAATAATTTATTTATTGCAACAAAGTTCCTGGAAAAGAAAGATATAGATTTGAAAATGACCAGCTTTAGTATCATTGTGCAGTAACCCACATTTGTCAGTCATTTGCTGCTATGCTGACTTGCTTCGTAATTGCTTGGTATTTTTCAAGTGTCACACATTCATTATCACGAAGGAAAATTATACCAAACATAATATCAACATTGAGCAGAGAGCCCCTGACTGAAGAGACAAAGAAAATATCTCTATATTAATAACATTTACAGAATGAACCTGTCTTTATACCTTATTAAAATCATGCACATGGTGCAGTAACTCATATTCGCCAAAGGGCGGCACGGTTTACTCACAAATGACTTGGCGACCTGTTTCTTTTTTACTTTAATTTCTCCACAAGCAGTGTAATATGTTATAGAAAAGACAAGTATATTGTGCATCAATTGTTCTTATACAAAATTGCCTAAATAATTTCCACACAGAAATAGTATGACAAGTGAAAAACGTCAAAATACACGATATTATATTATTATAATGCTCTTTTTTAAGTAATAAATGTATAGTTTTATATTATAACAGTCTTTATAGTAACTTTTCTGCTGAAGCGAACGCGTTGTCAAGTGGTTTATGTTACTTTTCTCATCGACCATCAGGATAAACTAATCATAACCGTTTTAGTTTAGTAGACGGTTGTTATTCTTCCAAGTCTTTTATAATGATCACTGTAACAAACGTACATATTTATATATGAAAGTTGTCTTCACAATCAATTTAACAAAAAAAATTCACTATTTTGTCCACACATTTTTTCCAATAGGGCAAAAACCACACAAAACCTTGAAACTGTTTGAACGGAGCCGCCATTGTATTGAGCCACCGCGCGCCCCCTGGCGAAATAAATAGTCATGTTCCATAAAAAAACAGCTGTTAGTTATTAAACTGTGCCGCTCAATGCGTTTCCCCGGCGCCTGTCACACTTCCACACCAGCAGCCGAGAGATTGCAGAAACTTCGGCGTTTCTCAATGTGTGCTTTTGTCTAAATGGCTGGGGTTGTCATGTTTTTGGAGTAGCGGGAGATCAGGCAGAGCTCAATGGCAGCGCCGGAGCTTTACTCGAAGGTATGAGAGTTTAATTCCTGCTACTTTCACATCTGTGCAATGGAAACATGTGAAGCCAAATGTGATCCAGACAGACCAAGCGTACAGCAGCTTTCCTGGTTTGTTTGGAGATTCACAGAGGCTTAATAGTATTTCAGTTTGAACATGTTTACTTGTATGTATTTGGTAAAGCTGAAAGAAAATGAAAAGTTAATTACATGACAGAAATATGAATGTATTGACCTCTGAGAAACTTGATAAAAGTTGAAAGAAAATCAAATATATTATAGAGAGATTTGTCACTTTAAATTTAGGAAATATTTAAGAGTAAAACTAGACAAAATAGATACTGTTTTGTTTTAAAGGTGAATGCATTTATTTAAATATTTAATGCAGTTTTATTAAAGTTAAAAGAAAACAAAACAAAAGAAGCTGCAGTTCAAATGAAACCCATTGAGTTTATTGTTGATTGCTATAGTAAATCAATGAGATATTATATATAATAATCATTATATCAGTTGCATAAATTAGATCATTTTACATCTGTGTTTGAATGCCACTGATATTCAGACTAACTTGATGTTTGTCTGCAGTTGGCCCGAGTCTGGATCCCAGACCCTGCAGAGGTGTGGAGATCAGCAGAGCTCAGCAGAGACTACAGACCTGGAGATCCTGTCCTGCATCTACTGCTGGAGGATGAGACGGTGAGACTTTCGCACTCTTTAGCTAGTTTGGCGTCTGATCTGAAGGTTAAGATACAAAAACATGAGCAGAAAAAGGATCTAGACCTAGAACATCTTAAATTGCACCTATTATGCCCCTTGTTTACAAGATGTAAAACAAGTCTCTGATATCCCACAGTGTGTTTGTGATGTTTCAGCTCAAAATTCCTCAGAAATGGTGTTTTAAAACTATTTGAAACTGCCCATTTTACGCTTAGATCCAAATTGTGCCTTTTTGGTGACTGTCACTTTAAATTGAAATATGATAGGCAGAGCTACACATGTCTTTGTGTCAGCACAGTAGCAGATTCAAAACCCTAATGGCAGATGGCTGCTTCTCACTCAGGGCTGTCTATGCTTATGAGGGAGAAACCATAAGCATGGACACTAATGGGCGGGGTTTCTCCCTCTGATGACACGTACAATCGAAGAATGCCAATTAAAGTGTTTGTGCAGGCTGTTTTTGTGAAGCATGATTAATTTATAAATAATAGAGTTAATTATTTTTATCATTAGAGACTGCCTATATTCACACACTGTTGCCACACAACTGTGTTAAAACCATTTATAATGAAAAATAGATCCCTTTTATGCTAAAAGTAGCTCATAACATGCAGATTTAATAGAAAATCTTAAAAATAACAAAAGTGTCAGTTTTAAATTTAGAAGTCCTACATTTTTGCTTGAAGAGTTTTTAAAAAAAATTGTTTTAGTGCTATAATTAGCTCTCAAATGCGTGGTTGGTTCATTAGCGGATAAATTTGAAAAGCGGAGGGGTGTGTGTTGACTGCGGGGGACCCCTAATAGGATCTCTGGTGGCCGCAAAATAGCTTGGGCTCTTAGAGTCGTCCTAACCGCCCCCTCTTAAAGGGATAGTTCTCCCAAAAATAAAAATGTTCTGTTCACTCGCACTTAAAGTGGTTCCACACTTTTATGAGTTTCTTTTTTCTGTTACACAAAATTATTTTTTAATGTTAGTAGGAAAAACAAACAGTCAATGGAGTGAGTGGCTTCCAGTTTCTAACATTCTGTCAAATCTTCTTTTGTGGTAATTTTAGTGCTTCATGTTTCATTTTGGGGTGAAAATTACAAACTATCCTAAATTAGCACCTTTCTTCAGATATCTACAGGTAAGAAGTCTTGTAAAAAGGTATATTAATACACTTTCAGCTCCTCCCATAAGTAGCTGGATTGAGGAGATCTTTGATCTAAGTGCATTGGAGGGTGGTCTGATATCAAAAGTATACAGTCTGATTCAAAGAGCAACTGCACCATCTCTAGATTTTCTAAAGAAACAGTGGGAAGATGACTTAGGAAATACAGTTCCAGAGACAGTCTGGCAATCAACAATTAAGCAAATTCCCTCAACATCTATTTGCGTCAAACACAGGTTATTACAATTTAAGATAATTAACAGGCTGCACTTTTCTAAAAGAAAATTGTCAAGAATATTTCCAGAAATTGACCCAACATGCTCTAGGTGCCAAAAAGATGAGGCCACCTTAGGTCATATGTTCTGGACATGTTCATCCCTAAGACCATTTTGGACTGCGGCGTTTGAGACTTTTTTTTTTCTTATATATGTGAAAAGGAGATAACCAGATCCAGTAATGACAATATTTGGTGCGACACCTGAAAACCTTACACAACCAGCAGGTCAATTAAATGCACTAGCATTCTCTTCTTTGTTGGCCCGAAGACTTATACTTTTGCAGTGGAAGTCAACTAAACCACCAACACATGCTAAATGGGTACAAATTGTCATGGCGCATCTAAAGCTTGAAAAAGTCAAATATAGCACCCAGGGCTCAAGTAATAGTTTCTTCAAAGTTTGGAGACCCTTCCTGTCATATTTTGAGAACAGATTTATTCCAAATACTTGAATTGTAAGCTCTACCCACCCCTAAATCTTTTGTTTTTGTTTTTTTGTGCCTTTTACCTTTTTCTTTTTAATTAATATTATTTCACCTTGTATTTGTTTTCCATTTTTTTATGTACCTTGTTCTTGTATATGTTTTGAGTTGCTTCTGTTTAAAAGTTCAATAAAAAGATTTGTCTACTACTTCTACTATCCTAAATGAGGAAAATCTGCTGAGGAATGTAAACATATTAGAAACACTTGATAGTGAGCTTTAAAAACGTATTGTCTTAATCCCATTGGGGCAGTATATTGATGTTTTTCATTCACAAGTTGGGCAAAAAAGTGAGTTCCTTGCATGTTATCATTAGCATATATGCTAATTGTTTACAGAATACACACAAGTCAAAGGTTGAAAAGTAGCTAAACATAAACTCTCTCATGCACATTTAGTTAGGCTTGCATTTCAAAATCTTTATTTGGATGTAGCAACATTTTTATTTTGAAATAAACTTGAATATGGCCACATAATATCGCACTCTACCATATTTCTGTGAATGAATCTCTGACAGGGTGGCACGGTGTCTTTAGAAAGTCACTAGTCCCGACTGAGCCATTTGGCATTTCTAGAGTTTGGATGTTCTCCCCGTGCTGGTGTGCATTTCCTCCAGTTGCTCCCACAGTCCAAAGACATGCGCTATAGGTGAATTGAATAAACTAAATTGGCCCTAGTGTATGAGTGTGTGTGAATGGATGTTTCCCAGCACTGGATTCCAGTTGGAAGGGCATCCGGTGTGTAAAACTTGTCCCGGAATAGTTGGCGGTTCATTCTACTGTGGCAACACCTGCTGATTAAAGGGACTAATGCCTAGTTCAGACTGCGTGATTTTAGCCCCGATTTTGGCTCGCCGACAGGTTTTAAGGAAATCGCCGACAAATGCCTGAAATCACAGGCAAATCGCTGCTCGTGCATGTGAGTGACAATCACACAGTATGAACGATCAAAGACGCGATCTGAGAGAATCGCCGATGCCTGTGAGATATTTGGCGTGCTAAATATCTGGAGCTGTCGGCGATTCAAATCATGCCGTGTGAATTGAGTTTTGACTGAAAATAACATCAGCGATCGCCTACAGCCAATGAGAGAGCAGCTTTCACTTGTGTGTGCGTGTGTGAATACCTGCTGCAGGCCAGCGGGAGGCTGGGGGAGAAGTTAACAGCGCTCTTTTTTTCGGTTTATTTGGACCCACGAAATGGAGGAAAAACTAGTGGAGGTTTGACAGGACTCAGGACCAACCGTGTCTGTTTGACATTTCATACAGAAAGAAATTAGTTTATTATCAACGTTGAGAAGGAATGGCTAAATCCCTTTAAACCCAGCTGAGCAAACATGTACATGTTCTACCCCATTAAAGGCTTCTTTCTCATTATGTAGTTAATAACAAAAGATATACTAGATGTTTTTGGCTGTGAGACGTAGTTTGGACGAAGAGGTTCAGGACTGGTAGAGCTACGCATCGATGAATTTGCTCTTCAGTGTTTGAACTCTCAGTAATGATTAAATCACACTGAACTGAGCTAAACTGAACTGAACTGAACTTAAACACTAAAACCTGTTCCAGTTACTGAACCACACTGTTCCAGTTACTATGACCATTTATGTGAAGCTGCTTTGACACAATCTACATTGTAAAAGCGCTATACAAATAAAGCTGAATTGAATTGAATTGAATTGAATTGAAGTTGTTGGATGATAAGCCGAAGGAAAATGAATGAAAACTCTGAAAGAGACCCCTCCCCTGTTGTCCAAATGCTGTGTGCATAATTAATAAACCGGCATCAAAGTAAACCCCACCCTCATCTCAACTTAAAGGGATAGTTGCACAAAAATGAAAAATTCCTCATTTATTTACACTCTCAGGAGTTTCTTTTTTCTGAAAAAGAAGATATTTTTAGGAATGTTGCATAAAGTAACTGTTGATATCCACAAAAAAACGATGATCGACAACAATCAATGGCTGTATTCTCCAGCATTCTTCATAATATCTTCCTTTGTGTTCAACAGAAAACAGTTTGTATCTTGAAGTGGAAGATGAGTAAATGATGACAGAATATTTATTTTTGGGTGAACTGCCCTTAAAGACTTCTCTCTATTACTCAGTAAAAGTTTGTCTCTGCAGATTTGTAAACAGCTTTTAAAAGAAACTCTTGAGGTAAAAACTTTGACTGCTCTTCAGTAACTCAGTGGTAAATGAACAGCTTTGTAAGAACAGGCCCAGGAGAATTACAGTGTTTGAGGATAGTTTGAGTCAGGTTTGAGTCAGACAGAGACGCTGTAGAAAAATAATGGGTGTGGAGCTCCCATTTCAGAAACTGTTTCCATTTATTTTTCGTCACTGTTTAAAAGTGGTGAAACGTTGAACGGATGTAAGGTCACCAGACCTAAATCTTTACAAGGTTAGCTTGTGGTTTTCCTGAGGTACTTTCATTTCTGTTCAGCAAATGTTTGAGTGATACTAAAAGCACATGTTTTACCCATAACACACCGGTGTTTAATCTGCACATATTCACCATATGATCTGATGAGGTTAAATTTGATAAACGTAAAGCTCTACTGACAAAAATGTTGGAATTACAGTCATGCTCGTACAGTGGAAGCTTATGGGTCAAGGCTACAGTGCTCAACATAAATAAGTGTACGCCATTTTGAACATGAATATTTTTATCAGTGAATATAGGTCATATATTTTGGTGCACTTGAACAAAACAGATGTATTAAATGGATATATTTTTTTAAATTATATTTTACTCACTAAACATCTTTAGAAGCAGAAAAATAATACAATTTCATGCAAGATGTGGGGAAAAAATACAAACTACAAAATTTCAATAAAATTGTAAACCAGTTTTTTTGTTCCTCTTGAATTTTGCTCTTTTTACATTTTTTTATTTAATATCTTTCCCCAACATAAAAATTTGGCTGTACTAATTTTGGCCCATTATCGTAAGGTATTTCGTTTGACAAGCTCCAGATTTGGCTTCAGTACTGACTAATCTAATGTATCTGCACAAATATAATATTTTATAGCTTCATATAAAAAATATCAATTTAAAAGATAGATTTGTGAGGGGTGTTCTCGTATGTTGAGCAACTTTCTTCTATACAGTATCTTCATCTGAACTTTTTTTGCAGGAGTTGGAGTATAAGTTAGACCTGAAGAGTGGCGTTCTTCCTCCTCTTCGTAACCCAGATATCCTGGTGGGTGAGAATGACCTCACCGCTCTCAGTTACCTTCATGAACCTGCGGTGCTGCACAACCTGCGGGTCCGCTTCACAGACTCCAAGCTCATCTACACATACTGCGGTACACGACACTTACCAATGATTGTGGTATTGCTTTCTAGATTGATCTTAAAGCATCTCATTTTTTTATTTTAATTGAATTTTAAATTGAAATTTCCTTTTTTTTTCAAATTGTTATTTTGTTTTTAATTTTTTCCTTGTATTGATTGGTAAAATTAGCCATTTGACTTTGTACAAATTCAGTATAAAACCCAGTATGAAAGGAGTAAATTTAAATGTCCTGTATGTAAGCGTTTGATTCTTCTAAAAATAAAAAATACCGTGATAATTTAACTCATTCATTCAGAAAGGCTTTGAAAAAATGCATCCTTGACTCAAATGCGATCTTTGGTGGACAGTGGCAGACTCCGAAATGACATGCAGATTTAGAGTTCCACATGAGGTTATTAATTAGCGAATAATATAAATATTACGAACGTAAACATTAGGTAAGCAGGTTACATTGTACAATATGAACTATCTGCTGCTGCTTTCACTAGTATGGAAATAAATGTCATGTAAAATGGCATTCAATTCACGTTGTTAACATTGAACACTGAATAAGCACATGAGGTGTACATGAGGTGATCATTGTAAGTTTGTCCTGTTGTTCAGCTGCAAACAATAGAAATCATTTCTAATATATCAATTTGAGGTGTTGGTTAAAACAAAAACTCCTTTTAATATGGAAAATATACCTTCTATCGGGTGCCGTTGCTTCTGTTTAGAACACTGTTTAAATCACTCTGTCCAGTCCTCAATCTGGCAACCTGCTCTTACGTTTGTTTTTATCCAGGATTGCAATACCTATTTCAACCACAGTACTTACATACTGCTCCTTTAATGCTAAAATATGATAATTTTTACATTAAAAAAAATAAATGTTATCATTTTAAAAAATAAATAAATTTATATTTTACTAATGTTAAATTACAATTTTATTTAATTTGATTTCTGAACAGTGATCTCTCAATCTACTGAATCGGACATTACACATTCAATTTAGTTTTATGTTTAGATTTTTTAAAAAATTGTATACTTATTGTGTTATTATATTTGGATGATACTTTAAATGCAGACTTTGCTGTTTAGTTCAATGTCAAAATAAATGCAGTACTTTTGAGGCTAATTGATGCTATATATTCTATATATACAGTGAGAGTAATTGAGTACACCCCATTTTGAAAATGAATATTTTTATCCATTTCTCAGTGAATATGGGTAATATATATTGGTGTATTTGGACAAGGCAGATTTATTACATATATATTTATTAAAATAATATTTTAGTCACTGAAAATATTTAGATATGTAAAAATAATACATTTAAATTCTTGCAAAATATTGCAAAAAATGACAAACTACAATATTTCAACAAAATTGTATATATTTTTTGTTTCTTTTGATTTTAGCTATTTTTAAAAAAGCTGTTTAATATTTTCCCTAACATATACATTTGGGTTACTAATTATTGTAATTATTATAACCATTATTGTAAGTTATTTGTTAAATAAGCACCAGATTTGGCTTCAGTACTGACTAATCTAATGTATATGCACAAATATAATATTGTAAAGCATCCTATAAAAAATATTAATTTAAATGAGAGATTTTTGGGGCTTGGGTTTCCTCCGGATGCTCTGGTTTCCCCCACAGTCCAAAGACATGTGATACAGGTGAATTGGGTAGGCTAAATTGTCCGTAGTGTATCTTGAAGGGCATCCGCTGCATAAAAAACGTGCTAGATAAGTTGGCGGTTGTTTCCGCTGTGGCGACCCCGGATTAATAAAGGGACTAAGCTGACAAGAGAATAAATGAATGAATGAATATGCTATGGTTGTGTAAACATTTTATGTGAACACAATCTATTTTAAATAACCAAATTAAAGCAAACTGTATATAATGTGTTAGTGGGTGTGTGTTTGTGTGTGTGTGTTTTATTTAATTAATTTAATTTAATACATTTTTATGACCTGTAAATTATGAAACTCTGGATCAGACTTAACTATTCTGTTTTTTTAATGTTTATTATTACACTTTACAATTCAGAATGTTTAGACTAGTCTGTTTATTATCATTGTATTATAGTCTAGACATAGAGAGTTTTATGCGCAATTTTAATATAATTTAAATATTTTAATTTTGTTTCTTTTTTTGATTATATTCCTGAGCATTGACCTGTAGACTTTGAAACTCCATGTGCAGCAGCTTGAATGTGAACCATAAAACATAGGCAGCAGAGCTTGTGTCATCTGTACTGAACCACTCAGTAGACTTTGAGTCCTGGACTCTTGTTCTTAGATTAGGCTGTTTTGCATACAGTATGCAAAGCTTTAAAATAAGAGTCTGAAAAAGCATCGCAATTAAGTCTGACCTTAGTCTGACATTACTTTATTTGAAATTAAAAACAGGGATCATCCTGGTTGCCATCAATCCATACGAAAGCCTGCCGATCTATGGCTCTGACATCATCAATGCCTACAGTGGGCAGAATATGGGTGATATGGACCCTCATATCTTTGCCGTGTCAGAGGAGGCCTATAAACAGATGGCCAGGTATGCACGCACACCTTTTCCATGATAAAATGAGTGTTTATAAGAATATGTGCAATAATATGTTGCAATGCTATCCTTTTCCTCCTGTTAGAGATGAGAAGAATCAGTCCATCATTGTGAGTGGAGAATCGGGGGCAGGAAAGACCGTTTCTGCCAAATATGCCATGCGTTACTTCGCCACGGTCAGCGAATCATCTGATGATGCCAGCGTGGAGGAAAAAGTCCTTGCATCCAATCCCATTATGGAGGTAAAACAGCTTTAAAGGGGAAAATTTATATATGTTATTATTATTTTACAACTCTCCCAGAGTTGCGTTTCACCATTTAAAAAAAAAAAATCTATTCTGTTGTTGTCCGGGTCTGGCTGTTAAATATAATACACTTTTAGCTTAGCATAGATAATTGAATCAGATTAGACCATTAGCATCTCACTCAAAAAAATTCAGAAAAGAGTTTTAATAACTTTCCCAGGTCAAGCTTGATTCTTCTGTGATTAAATTGTATACTAAGACAGATGGGAAATTAAATATTGCTATTTTGTAGGTTGATATGGCTTGTAAATATGCTCTTACTCTGGCATAATAATCAAGAAACTTTGCTGCCGTCTCATGACTGTAGCAGGCATAATGATATTACGCAGCACTGTTACCTTGTTATCTATTTGGGGACTATCATTGCACCTTTTGTAGCCATGGTACGACAGCAGAGTTCGTTGATTATTATACTACAGTAGAGCTTGTGTGTCACATTGAGGTCTCTGGAAAAGTAATGTAGAAATCCAGACACAATTCATCACTAGGGAAGCATCTAAAAGTCTCATGAAGTGCTTTGAAATGTGCATTTAAAAAAAAAAAAAAAGGCAGGGCGGGGCATACAGTAGCTCCTCCCCTTAAAAACAGCCAATAGCAATTAGGTTTTAACACCGCTCTGCCAATGAGAATGGTTGAGCTTAAAAGCATTTAGCAATTGTGCTTTGAAGTGGGCGGCACATATTAGAGAAGATTTGATTAGTCAGATTTGATGAAAAACTTAAGTATGAGGTCACATATAAAAACAATCCATTTAGGCAGAAGTGACAAATTGCAAGCTTTGGATGTTTATATCTTCTTAATGTGAGTTTCGTCACTGTTTTGGAACACACTAGCTTATCGATATCCTTAAGACTAACATACTGATGCTAAGATTTAAAAAACTTTAATTTGATTTCACATGGACTTTAAACACTTTAATACTACGTGGAAACAATGCATCTTGACTTTTTCATCTGTGCGTAGGCTTTTGGAAATGCCAAGACCACCAGAAATGACAACAGCAGCCGCTTTGGGAAGTACATTGAGATCGGGTTTGACAGGAAACATCACATCATTGGAGCAAACATGAGGACGTACCTTCTGGAGAAATCTAGAGTTGTTTTCCAGGTTAGTTTTTCTCATTGGAAGAGTCTGAATGTCATTAATTTCAGTATCACAAAACATTTATATCCAATACATATAAATTGTGTGGTAATTTCAGTCTTAATCTATGTTGTAGGCAAGTGAGGAGAGAAACTACCACATCTTCTATCAGCTCTGTGCCTGCGCTCATTTACCTGAATTTAAACCTCTAAAGTTAGGTAAGTGCGCAGTCTACAGTGTGCGTCTTTATTTGACTGATTACAGATGGTGTTGTTGTAGGTTTTGTGTTGCAAGCTGATATTTTGTAGTGGGAACATCTGCTGGCCACTTCTCCTCAGGGTGACTCGTTCTCTTCAGTAACCAGTCTTTCTCTTAAGGTAGCGCTGATGATTTTCCTTACACTAACCAAGGCGGAAGTCCAGTCATCGTGGGAGTGAATGACCTGAAGGAGATGCAGGCCACAAGGAAAGCCTTTTCACTGCTGGGTATGAATCGTTTTAGATTTTCATCTCACTTGTGGGGTTTTGTAATCCAGAGTCCTATTCATGCGTCTCTGTAACTTATTTTTGGAATAATAAAAAGGGGTCACATCATTGATTTTATATTTATTTTTTAAATGTATTTATATTTGCAATATTTAATTCATGTATTTTGCTTTAAAATGTAATTTCTATTCTAAATTGTTGTAAAAATGATATATACATTGTTATAATTTTTAATAAGAATTAAAAAAATATTAATATAATTTATAAATTATATTAATTTTAATTATTTTATTTATTTTCATTTGCATTTAAACATGTTTGTTCTTTTTTATTTTCTATTGCTTAAATTTCTTCTGTTTTATTTTATAAATTTTTTTCTTCTATTTTTTATTTTATGTAATGCCTTTGGTTTCGTTTTTGTATTGTCATTTTGTTTCATAATATTTATTTATAAATTTATTTGAAGTTAAAAAATTGCCCTTTTTATTTTCTTATTTTTTTTACAATTTTGTATTTTAGTTAATTAAAAGCCTTTTATTTTAAATTTTTGTCATTTTGTTGCTTATTTATTTATTTCATAATAAGTTTATTAAAAATATATATTTTGTTTTCTTAGTTTTTATATTTTAGTTTATTTAATATTTTAGTATTATAAGGTTTTTGTTATTTATATAATTCATAAATACTTTTATTTTTATTTATATATATATATATATTCATTTTTGCTTGCATTTAAACATGTTTGTTGTATTTTATTTTCTATTACTTTAAATTATTTTATGTTTTATTTTATTCTACTTTATGTAATGCCTTTGGTTTTATTATTTTGTTTTATATTATTTATTTAAAACTAAATTTATAAAAAAAAACATTTCGTCCTATTTTATTTTCTTATTTTGTCCTATTTTGTATTTTAGTTATATTATTTAATCTGTTATCATTATTATTATTATTAATTATTATTATTATTATTATTATTAGATTTATTTTTTGTTATTTTTATTATCATAAAAACAGATCTTTTTTCTTTTATTATTTTTTATTGATTAATTTTATTCCCATTATCTAAATATGACTTTACTGCCAGTTTCTAATTATTCAGTCACTATTTTATGTAATGCCTATTTAATGTTACATTACTTTATGTAATGCCTTTTGTTTTTTATTTATTTTATTGTCACTGGTTTAAAATTATACCTTTTTATTTTTCCTTTTTAATTGTTTTGTTTTTTCTATTTTTTATTTGAGTTAATTTATTCAGTCTATTAGTATTATTTGATTTGTTATTTATAATATCATAAATACATTTTTTAAATAATTTTTTAAAATAATTTTATTTTAATCTCCTTATTATACAAATACGACTAGACTGGCAGTTTCTGATCATTCAGCACACGCAGAAGTGACTGTGTTTTCATAGTGCATAAAGCTCTTGAATCAGATCATATCAGATCCAATTAAATTCCTCATGATATGAGCCCCTTCACATGCTCTTAGTTTATTCATTCAACCACAAACATGCAAGTATCTGCTGATTCCAGGAATTACCGAGGCACACCAAATGGGTTTATTCCAAATCCTGTCAGCCATTCTTCATCTGGGGAATGTGGAAGTGAAAGAGAGAGGATCATCCAGCTGTAGCATCTCTGTAAGCTATCATAAAAATTCAAGAATGAATAATTTCTACTATACTGATTTCACAATACCATTTCATCACACCCAGGATGAAAACGGACACCTAGCCATGTTTTGTGACCTGACTGAAGTGTCAAATGAATCCATGGCTCACTGGTTGTGTCATAAAAAGCTGAAAACGGCCACGGAAACCCTTAATAAACCTGTGACCCGACTGGAAGCTGTGAACGGTCGGGACGCTCTTGCAAAGCACATTTACGCCAAGCTCTTCTCGTGGATCGTCAGCCAGGTCAACAAGGCTTTGAGCACTTCTTCTAAACCGCACTCGTTCATCGGTGTCCTAGACATCTATGGGTGGGTGAGCCTCCTGCTATTTCTTCTTCTTTATACTTTATTTAGTTGTGTGTCGAATTTAATCAGCTTTGTTATTAGGTAGAGGTGGTACGGTGGCTCAGTGGTTAGCACTGTCGCCTCACAGCAAGCCTCACTGGTTCGAATCCCGGTTGGGCCACTTGGCATTACTGTATGTAGTTTGCATGTTGTCCCTGTGTTAGCCTTGGTTTCCTCCGGTTGCTCCCGTTTTCTCCACAGTCCAAAGACATGCGCTATAGGTGAATTGGGTTAATAAAATTGGCTGTAGTATGAGTGTGTGTGTGAATGTGAGATTGTATGGTTGTTTCCCAGTACTGGGTTGCGGCTGAAAGGGCATCCGCTGCATAAAACATATATCAGAATAGTTGGTGGTTCATTCCGCTGTGGTGACTCCTGATAAATAAGGGACTAAGCCGAAGTAAAATTAATTTATTAATGTTATTAGTGACACCGGTGGCCATTAGATGAACTGCAGCCTGCAAGTGTTCGTATACAGTGGAGTTTAAAATTAAAGATCAACCTACGATTTCCTAAATTTCAATATCACAACTTAGTCCTATTTTAAGTCGTCCTAACATCAAAAGAAGACATTTTAGACATATTTCATGACTTACTAAAAGGTGCCTTATTAATTGCAACTTATTTATTTACTATTACTATTACCGACAACTTATATAAAGGTACCAAAGAATGTATTGGTGTACTCTGAAATACACACATGCAATTATTCATACTTTCAGTTGTCAAATATTTGACCAAACTGAGATTTTTTTAAATGACAATTTTTTCGACTGAAGTGTTTATTTTAGCTTGAAAGAGCGAGTTTCACGATATACACGTTAAACTAACTGAAGAGGCAAATAAACAGACCTTATTATAATCCGTATATCCTGCATTTTGCATTCGGATCCACACATAACTGCTTACTCTTAAAGCCTGTCCAGTTTTTAAAATAAAAGTCCCACATACATAGTAAATAAAATAAAAGCTTAGATAATCTTTCAAATAAGGTGGGAAAAGTAAAAGGCTTTTGTGCCTCGGCTATTTTATAAAGCAACGTATAGCAACTAGGGCTACACAATATATCTTTTCAGCATCAATATCGCATCATTTGCAGTGGTCGCATTGCAGAATATCAAGGTTGAGTTTGTATTATAATTTGCATGTGTTTTTAATAGCTGTGCCTGTAATGATTTTATAAACATTCAGGCATAAGAAACTGTACCGTTTGTAACATTAATACTAATTCATTTTATTGAAAAAAAATTCTTATTCAATTAGTGTATATGAATACTGTTAGACTTAGTTGGTTTATTTCAATTGTATTTTTTTTATTTATTGCGTATATAGATTGTTTATTACATTACAAGTAGTGTATTTATATCCCTGAAGAACAAAATATCACAATGTTTTACAAAATATTGCTAATAATTTTTTTCCAATATCAAGCACCTATAATACCAACTAATACTTTCATAATTATAATAAGGACGATTCAATTATTTAAAAAAAAAACAGTAGAAGTGTCTCTCAAAGATGAAAAAATGAAGTTGCTGAAGAACCGTCGACTTTTGTGTCCAGGTTCGAGACGTTCGAGTTGAACAGTTTCGAGCAGTTCTGCATCAATTACGCCAACGAAAAGCTCCAGCAGCAGTTTAACATGGTCAGCATTTTTCTTCAGCATTCACATAATATTCAGTCATGTCCAAGCACATCGCGACTCACAGAAAGCATTTCCCCTGCAGCATGTGTTCAAACTAGAGCAGGAGGAGTACATGAAGGAGCAGATACCATGGACGCTCATCGACTTCTACGACAACCAGCCCTGCATCAACCTGATCGAAGCCAAGATGGGCTTGCTGGATCTTTTAGATGAAGAATGCACTGTAAAAACATGTTTTATTTTGTGGTGAACTGCTTTATATCCTTAAAGGGATAGTTCATCCAAAAATTAGGAATATTTTCTCACCCAAATTGTTTCAAACCTTTAAGTTTCTTTATTCTGTTCAACACAAAAGTAAAAATTTAAAGAAAGCTGGAAACCTGCAACTATTGACTTCCATAGTATTTGTTTTTCCTACTGTGGAACGCAATGGCTTTCTTTAAAATATCGTATTTTATGTTCAACAGAATAAAGAAAGTCATCAAGGTCTGGATCCACTTGAGGTCAAGAGTGAGTCAATTTTCATTTTTGGGTGAACTATCCCTTTTGATTTGATGCTTTCAGCTGTTGTCATCATTTAATCATTCATTGCTTGTTCCAAACCTTTGAGTTTCTTTATTTTGTTCAGCACAAAATGAAGATATTTTGAAGAAAGCTAATGAGGGAGAGTAAAAAGAAGTCAATTTTTATTTTTTGGGTAAAGTATGCCCTTTAATTTGATGCTTTCACATGCTGTCATCATTTACTCATTGTTTACATTTTCCAAACTTCTGTTCAACTCAAAAAAATATATTTCTAAGTAAGCTGGAAATCTGTAATCATTGACTTCCATAGTATTTGTTTTTCCTATTATGGAAGTCAATGGCTTTCTTCAAAATATCTTCTTTTGCGTTCGACAGAATAAAGAAAGTCAAAGTTTTGGATCCACTTGAAGGAGAGTAAAAAGTGAGTAAACTTTCATTTTTGGATGAACTATCTCCTTTGATTTGATGCTTTCAGATGCCAAAAGGTTCAGATGACTCGTGGGCACAAAAGCTGTACAACACTCACCTAAAGAAAAGCTCTCACTTTGAGAAACCTCGCATGTCCAACAAAGCCTTCATCATATTACACTTTGCAGATAAGGTACATAATGAGAATTATAAGCACTTATAAAGTGTTCATACTGGAGTTCAGGGAGTCACTATCATATTATAACTCTCAATTTGTGTTTCAGGTTGAATACCAGTGTGATGGATTTCTGGAGAAAAATAAAGACACTGTCAACGAAGAACAAATTAATGTGCTGAAGGCTAGCAAGGTGTGTCCACCTCAACATAACTCACTAAACACTTTGCTGGCACTCTTGTGCTCCACTCAGACTAAATGAGAAGCAGGAGCGTGTTGCAGCTTGCGAAATATTATTCTGTACTCCCTCAGTGACTTATATAAAAATAGATTATGATTCAGCATGGCTTTTGGGATGTAGCGCCACCTGCTGTTCTGGTTTATGAATATATTTTTGTATTCCTATGCTCTCTCAGGGGGTGGGTTGAAACCAAATTGGTCCATGAGAGCAGGGGAAGGTTGTGTTACTTACAAGGAACCAATTGAGAACAACTAGTCTAATATATATAAGTAGCACATTGCGCTTGGTTATCAAGGCTGTTTTGTTTACCCACAGTTCAGCTTGCTGCTCGAGCTCTTCCAGGATGAAGAATCTCCTGCAGCTCCGAACACCACCGCTTCATCTGGCCGTGCAAAGTTTGGACGCTCTACGCAGTCCTTTAGGGAACACAAGAAATCAGTTGGACTGCAGGTTAGAGTTGAGCTACAAAGCCAAAATCCATCATGGTTGCATGTTATATTTATTTATTTGTACTATTATTACATATTATTCAAATTGACTGACAGCATATGTCCATATGTTTAGAGATTTTCCTCAATATTTTGTCTTAACATAACCCTCATATTCTAGATTTATCTAGGCCAAATTTTACATAGTCCTATCCTGTCTAACAAACCCAACAGAGCTTATTTATTCCACTTTCAAGTAATTAATCAAATTCAATTACAATGTTCTAAAAATTAAGTGTTGTGGTCCAGGGTCACATATAAAGATGATCAATACTATTCACCAATGTTTTTGTAGGAATTAATACAATTATTTAGCAATAAAACATTTGCACAGTTGTAAATGTCTGTACTGCCATTTTTGACAATTGTTAATTTCTTATTTAACATAAATTCTGTTTTTTATCATATATTATATTATATAGTATATATTTTATACAGTATATTTACAGTTGAAGTCAGAATTATTAGCCCCCCTGTTTATTTTTTTCCCTAATTTCTGTTTAATGGAGAGAAGATTTTTTTCAGCACATGTTTAAGCATAATAATTTTAATAACTCATAATTTTATTCTAATAACTGATTTCTTTTATCTCTGCCATGATGACAGTAAATAATATTTGACTAGATATTTTTCAAGACACTTCTATACAGCTTAAATTGACATTTAAAGGCTTAACTAGGTTGATTAGGTTAACTAGGCATTATTGTATAATGATGGTTTGTTCTGTAGACTGTCAGAAAAAATTAGCTTGAAGGGGCTAATAATATTGACTTAAAATGTTTTTTTAAAAATGTAAAACCATTTTCTCATTCAAGTGGTTCTGGTTTCTTCTGTTGAACACAAAAAGACATTCTTGAGAATGTTAGGAAAAAGCAGCCATTGACATCCATAGTAGGAGTAAAAGATACTATGGAAGTCAAGGGTGTTTTTTCCTTCCCAACATTCTGGCAGAAAAACACAAACCGGTTTAGAACAAGTGGAAGATGCAAAAAAAAGCAATAAATCTGTGGTGTGATTGCACCTGATTAGGTTGTCAATCCTAATGCTGCATTGTCCTACATCTATTTACCTTTTTCTTTCCCCTCAGTATTCATATAAGTTTTAGTGTCAAATTGAAACAACATTGAAATTAATCTCTGAGCTGGATGGACCAAATAAAATGCAATCCAGAGCCATACATGACAAAAATTGGTTTGTCACTTGCCCCCTATTATAACTGATGTCATCCAACAAAATCTTTTTAATGGAAATTCACAGTGTCATTTGTCTGTCTTTTTAAGTTTCGTAACTCTCTGCACCTGCTGATGGAGACGCTGAACGCCACCACCCCTCACTATGTGCGCTGCATCAAGCCCAATGACGTTAAAGCCCCCTTCATGTCAGTAAGCCTGCTCCACAGATAATCCACTGTTATGTAACATGGGTCACTGTAGTTTCCTCTCTTCATCTCTTTATGTCATGTTTGAAAATTCTTATTTAACTTTTTTGTTTTTCTTTTGATTAAATATCGAATATAGGACAATGTATTGTATGGTTTAATGAAGCTGAGCATATATACTTTAAATTCCCTCTCTTCATCTCTCCAGGATGGACCCCCATCGGGCTGTTCAGCAGCTCAGAGCATGTGGAGTCCTGGAGACCATTCGCATCTCTGCCGCAGGCTTCCCTTCCAGGTGCTTGATCAGTAGTTAAAATACAATAATTACAATAGTCACAACATGATCAAACAGTCTTCATGAAAACACCTCAGTTTAGGGCTGCACAATATATCGTTTCAGCATCAATATCGCCATGTGCGCATCTGCAATAATCACATGACAGGATCTGCAATGTTGAATCAGTATTATTATTGAGCTGAATTTGAAAACACTATTGATTTGTGGCATTTTTACAACGGTTAACCATAAAGTTACCAAAACATTCTTATTTGTGGAAATTACATGTTTAACTAAAAAGGAAAATGAATTGCATTTATGCATGTATATGATGAAGTCTACATCGTGTTATTTTACATTTGATTAATACATTTGTTTATTTAAATATTGATTGACTTTCAGAAATTCCTATAGCACTGTATATATTTTCTGTACAGTTTCGTTGCTCTGCTATATTTCTCAATGCTTGTGATTGGTTTATTATATTTTTTGTGGATGCACACAATCATTCCAGTATGTCAAAAATTATGAATTCTTTGAAAATAGATATAATAATTTCATCTGGCGATGCATAAATATTAAATTACATGAAATTAACTCCCCAAAAAATGAAATACATTTAGCTAAATATAATTTTGAGACCAGGCATGATCATATGGTCTATACCAGATGTCAAATTGGACATTCTAGGTTGACATTTTTATATTTACTAAATAATGAAGAACCACCTATATGTAATTACTGCCAGACTTCTCTTACCATCAAACATATTTTGTTGCAATGTTGAAGTTTAAAATCCATTAGACAAAATTTTTATAGGAGAATACTTTGATGAACATTTTTAAAAAGGTACCAACAAGAAGAGTTGTAAGTTATTTATCAAAAATTGAACTGAAAAATCATATTTAACTTTAAAAAACATTTTTGTATGAATTTTATTTATTTATATTTTATATATTTGTCCAAGTAATTTTTTAATTGTAATACGAATTTGTTTTATCATGTAATATTTTATATATATCCATTTTGCCACGAAATAGCCATAAGTTGCTGATGTGGAAATAAAGAATAAATAAATAAATTTATATTATCAATATCGCAATATAGCGTAGAAAATTAAAATATTGCAATGTCATTTTTTTTTCAATATCCTGCAGCCCCACTACAGTAGATCTAATTAGAATGAAGTTGTTTTAGACTGTGGAATCATATAAGCTGTGCTGCTTTCGTGCCACGTTGCGATCGTTTCTCAACAGCGATTTCTTCAGGGCTCTTGTTTCACTTATCACGGCTTCCATTACTTCATTCTACTGTGATACACAAAAAATTTATATTTCTCCTGCTTGTTCAAAATATTTATTTAAAATGAGCTGAATCAACACAACTCTTGAGTTTTATAACTTAACTGTAAATTAAAATTAGGATTTAAAACTCCACAACCACAACTCCCACGATTCCACACTCAGTGACACCATTATCAAACTGTTTTTGTTTGTTGTAAATACACGCCCTCTAGTGGCTAAAATAAAATCCTGTACCTTTAATTCAACTGTAACTCTTATTTGACAGGTGGACTTATCAAGAGTTCTTCAGCCGCTATCAAGTTTTAATGACAAAGAAAGAAATTCTCTTAGACCGGAAGCTGACCTGCCAAAGTGTCCTAGAACGGCTTGTACAGGTATTACACTAATCAGTTTGTATAGCATAATAATAAATCTCTGGTTTAAGATACACTAGGCTGGTTTCCTTAATGAGAGTGTCTACAACTAGAAGAAACACAAGCTTGGGACATTTCTTTTTAAGTAGTCCAATGTTACTCTGTTTTCCCTCTGCAGAACAAAGATAAATACCAGTTTGGAAAGACGAAGATCTTCTTTCGGGCTGGTCAGGTGGCTTACTTGGAGAAGCTGAGGGCTGATAAACTGCGTACGGCCTGCATCCACATCCAAAAAACCATCCGCTGCTGGCTCGCCCGAATGAAATACCTACGCATTCGACAAGCGGCCATAACATTGCAGAAATACACTAGAGGACACCAGGCTCGATGGTGGGTCACACTTGTAAAATTTGCAAATTAATGGAGTTGGTTGAAATGAAGTTAATAGAGACTGAAGGTTACTCAGTTACTGGTTGCAGACTAAAGTGTTTTGTGTGCCCTTTGTTTAGCTTGTGTAAGACTCTGAGGAGGACACGGGCCACCGTCGTCTTCCAGAAGAACACGCGCATGTGGGCTGCAAGACGACAGTACCTGAGGCAGAAAACGGCAGCGGTGCTCATTCAGAGGATACTGCGTGGATATACGGCTAGACTGGAGTACAAGCGGGTATGAGAGAGCAATTACATTTTTATTGAGTGTATTATATTTTATATTGTGTATTCTGAGTAGATGCCTTGGTGTTATGTTATCTTAGTGGTTGCTAGAATGTTTTATGCACAGTGTTGGGTGTAATTTGTTACAAAGTAACTCCTCGCAGTATTTCAATTGCTTTTCTAATGAAAAAGTAATGTGATGGATTACTTTTCGTTTTTAGGTAATTTACTTTTTATTTTATTAGGTAATTTATTAAAGTTACTTAAAACATACTTACTTACACCCAGGGCCATTTATATCAAATTTGATATTTATCTGCACCATGTTGGTGTTTCGTAACATCTAATTTTTACGAGGTGGGTCATTAGCCCAAAGCTCAATCTCCAACCTGGAGGACCGGGATATACACACATACACTACGGACAATTTAGCTTACCCTGTTCACCTATAGCACATGTCTTTGGACTTGTGGGGGTCCAAAGCAGCCGGAGGAAACCCACACCAGCACAGGGAAAACATGCAAACTCCACACAGAAATGTATACTGACCCAGCTGGGGCTCAAACCAGGGACCTTTTTGCTGTGAGGTGACACTGGGCCACCATGTAGCCCTACTTAAAACATACTTGCCTTAAATCCTGTAAAAAAATTCAACAGTTCTGTATAAATCAATTCAGAGAAGCAGAATCATATTTAATTTGCAGAATAATTCTATTGTTCATCTATTATTCTGCAATACGGAGGTGCGCTTATTTAAATTTTTTTTTGACTGTTTACGATTGGTCACCTATGGAAGAAATGACTAGAAATTATAAACCACAGAATACTGTCAAATTGCTTGCTCTAGAACCAAGTATGCTCATGACTACACATAAAAAGATGAAAAATATAATAGGAAAATATGAGGAGATATAGATGACCAGTTTTTAACCAATAAAACTGAATGCCACCGGAAGTTTTGAGCCGATGGCAGTGCCTGTTCGTACGTGAAGAATAAGGTCAATAGAGCATTTATCATTAGTCAAGACATTTGCATATTTTAAGAAAAAGTAAATAAGAAGTGACATGACAATGTAATATATAAATTCAGAGGAGAGTAATTGTGAATGTAGTTTTATTATTCAAATATTTTGCTTAATAACTCGAAAACTGCACACGCAAGAAACAATTAAATGTTTCAGAACTGTATGCCAGTATATGATATGTATGAAATATGATGTCATTACTCTGAATCGTTTTTGTTTTGATACCTGCCCATGTTGTTTAAAAATTTAATTTTTTTAAACAAAACCAAAGTCAAGTTAAGAGTTTGATTTCTATTAGTTAATATTTAGTGACACGGGTGCTCAAGTTCACCTCACAGCATGAAGGTCCCTGGTTCGAGCCCCAGCTGGGTCAGGTGGCATTTCTGTGTGGAGTTTGCATGTTCTCACCGTGTTCGCATGGGTTTCCTCCAGGTGCTCCAGTTTCCCCCTATAGTCCAAACACGTGCTATCGGTGAATTGGATGAACTAAATTGGCTGTAGTGTATGAGTGTGAATACGAGAGTGTATGGGTCTTTCCCAGTGCTGGGTTATGACTGGAAGGTCATCCCTTCGTAAAACATATGCTGGATAAATTGGTGGTTCATTCCTCTGTAGCGACCCCTTATAAATGGAGGAAGGAAAATGAATGAATGACTAGTTAGTTAGTTAGTTAGTTAGTTAGTTAGTTAGTTAGTTAGTTAGTTAGTTAGTTAGGATACATGATAATTTTGATCTATTTCTTACGCATCTGGAAACACCATATCGGCAACCTGATGGTAACAATTTGAAGGTGTATGAGTTGTCCAAGCATAAATATTTATGTGGATATTTAGTCAAGTAATTAAGTTACTTGTTGAATAACTAAGCTACTTTACAGACAAATTAATTAGAAAAGTAATTTAAATACAATTTTAATGATTTATTTAGTAATTTGATTTGCGTGGGTTTACTACAGGTGCTCCGGTTTCGCCCACCGTCCAAAGACATGCGCTATTTGTGAATTGAATAAACTAAACTGGCCGTAGTGTATGAGGGTGTGTGAATGCAAGTCTATGGGTGTTTCCCAGTGCTGGTTTGCGGCTGGAAGGGCATCTGCTGTGTAAAACATATACTTGATAAGTTGGCGGTTCGTTCCACTGTGGTGACCCCTGACAAATAAAGGCACTAAGCCGAAGGAAAATGAATGAATAAATGAATGAATTGGTACCTTGAGGTAATTTATCCAACACTGGCTATGCAGTTAGTAGGCCACAGTTTCCAGGATGTTGCCAAGTGGTTGTCAGGTTGTGCTGGATGCTATATGGTTTGCTCTGTGTTTTCAATGTTTAAATCAGGAATGGTGTGTTATGCAAGTAAAACAGTTAATAAATGCTTTATAGAGCTTGTCCTGCGGTTTTCTTCCACAGTTGGTGTGTGAGCACAAGGCTCTACTGATCCAGCGGTGGGTGCGTGGCTTCCTGGCCCGCTGGCGTTATCGGCGCATCAAGCGGGCTGTGGTGTATCTTCAGTGTTGCGTGCGCAGGATGCTGGCCCGCAGAGAGCTCAAGAAACTCAAGATTGAAGCCAGATCGGTCGAACACTACAAGAAGCTCAATTATGGCATGGAAAACAAGATCATGCAGCTGCAGAGGAAACTAGATGAGCAGGTCTCCTTTTTTCCATTTTGGAGTTTGTACTGATTTCTAAAGAGGAGTCCGGTTAAATAAACAATGTATTTATGCATCTTTCAGCACAAAGAGAACCGAGAGCTTTCAGAGCAAATAGGTGCAATAGAGAGCCACAGTGTCGTTGAGTTGGAGAAGTTGCATGTGCAGCTCAAAACGCTTCAGGAGGCGGAAGAAGAGGCCCGTCATCGGGAAGACCTGGTGACATCATTACAGGAGGAGCTGGATTTGGTTCGCCGGGAGCTGGAGAAGAACAAAGAGGTGAAATTAATTAATGACATTTATTTAGGATATATTTAATTAAAAACTATCAATCTATATAAATGTTTTTCAGATGAACAACCTGAGTCAGTTAGGACATCACAGTTTGGTGTCCACTTCAAATTAAATTTACAAAAGTGATTTTATAACAGTATCTTAAAACTGTAAAATTGAACTAAAATACTGTTTTACTGTATTTTTCAGTGATCTTGGTTAGAGCCGTGCCAAAAAATTGTACGAGGAAATCAATTCTGGATTGATTCTGAGACTTTTTGGCACAGCTATAAGAAATGCTAATAAAGAATAATAAAAAAAAATGTTTGAGACAGTTTTTATGCCTGTATTCTGCTTGCATCCAATTCCTTACAAATACCACTTGCACCAAAAATAATCATTATTAAATATTGAAAGGTTTAAGTGAATTAGACAGCAAGAATTTTGATGTATTGTTTACATTAATAACTCTCATGAGCATTTGTGTGTGTGATCAAAAACTAGCCATGTGTGCCCTCTGCTGTTAAAAACTAACCTAGAACACTGTCTGCTTTTAAAAACTAGCCTAGAGCGCTGTATGCTTTTTAAAACCAGCTGGTAAAAATTAGCCTAGTACCAAGCTTCTAAAGTGACGTGCAAAAAAATAATAGTAATAAAGACTTTTGTGTGTGCATGCCATAGACATGCTTGTCACCTGGGCACAACATGCGTATCACGTGCACATGACATAAACATACATATTTTGTGCGCACGACATGCGTATGAAGTCTTTATCCTTTTTTTGCACATCACTTGGCGTAGAGTGCCATCTGCTGTTAAAAACTAGCCTAGAGCATTGTCTGATTTTAAAATCTGCTGTTAGACACTATCATAGAGCACAGTCTGCCGTTAAAAACTAACCTAGAGCACCCTCTGCTGTTAAAAACTAGCCTAGAGCAGTCTCTGTTGTAAAAATGAGCCTAGAGCACCCTCTGCTGTTAAAAACTAGCCTAGAGCAGTATCTGTTGTAAAAATGAGCCTAGAGCACCCTTTGGTGTTAAAACTAGCCTAGAGCACCCTCTGCTGTTAAAACTAGCCTAGAGCAGTCTCTGCTGTTAAAACTAGCCTAGAGCACCATCTGCTGTTAAAAACTAGCCTTAAGCACCCTCTGCTGTTAAAACTAGCCTAGAGCACCAACTGCTGTTAAAAACTAGCCTAAAGCACCCTCTGCTGTTAAAACTAGCCTAGAGCACCAACTGCTGTTAAAAACTAGCCTAAAGCACCCTCTGCTGTTAAAACTAGCCTAGAGCCCCAACTGCTGTTAAAAACTAGCCTAAAGCACCCTCTGCTGTTAAAATTAGCCTAGAGCACCATCTGCTGTTAAAAACTAGCTTAAAGCACCCTCTGCTGTTGAAAACTAGCCTAAAGCTCCCTCTGCTGCTTAAAAACTAGCCTAAAGAGCCATGTGCTGTTAAAAACTAGCCTAAAGCACCCTTAAAACTAGCCTAGAGCCCCAACTGCTGTTAAAAACTAGCCTAAAGCACCCTCTACTGTTAAAATTAGCCTAGAGCACCATCTGCTGTTGAAAACTAGCCTAAAGCTCCCTCTGCTGCTTAAAAACTAGCCTAAAGAGCCATGTGCTGTTAAAAACTAGCCTAAAGCACCCTCTGCTGTTAAAACTAGCCTAGAGCCCCAACTGCTGTTAAAAACTAGCCTAAAGCACCCTCTGCTGTTAAAATTAGCCTAGAGCACCATCTGCTGTTAAAAACTAGCCTGAAGCACCATCTGCTGTTGAAAACTAGCTTAAAGCTCCCTCTGCTTCTTAAAAACTAGCCTACAGAGCCATGTGCTGTTAAAAACTAGCCTGGAGCACCCTCTGCTACTTAAAAACTAGCCTAGAATGCCATCTAGCCTAGAGCGCCATCTATTGTTAAAACTAGCCAACGCCATTGTCTGCTGTTGAAATGTAGCTTAGAGCACCATCTACTGGTAAAAAAAATTGAATGTAAAACACAATGATGAGTTGCTGACCTCTGCTTGCAGATGGTCGTGGAGCTGAATGAAAAGAACACAATGCTGAAGAGTGAGAAAGAAGAGATGAACAGACTGATCCAGGAACAGGAGCAGCAGATAAGAGGTTTCGTTTCTGGCTTGGATCAGGAAAGCTTCAATTTATTAACTCTCGTACAAATAAATTGCTCTGATTTTGTCTTGAACAGAAAAGTCAGAGGCGACCAACGAGGATGTGACTGAGAACCTGCAAACGCAGTTGAATGAGGAACGCTTTCGTTACCAGAACCTGCTCACTGAACATCTGAAACTGGAGGAGCGCTACGCTGATCTGAAATCAGAAAAGGAGGTGGCTGTAAGAACTAATAATTTAATTTACTAAGCTTAAAAATTATTTGTAAAACTTGATATAGTCTAACTGTAGTTTACATTTTCTTATTATTAAAATATCCGTTGAAGCTCGCATGGTGTTAAACACAAACTAACAAAAATACCACAACTTACTATTATCAAAATAATAGTTTCAGCATTTTCAGTATCTTAATTATCTACTATTATAACTACCTTGTAATCTCAATCGTTTTAAACAGGAGATTTCCACAGCTGGAGATAGCAGAGCAGACTCTGGATACAGCAGCAGCCAATCAGAGAGCATCCATAGCTCTATGCTCACAGGGTCAGAGGTCAGCTCGTTGGAAAAAGAGGTCAGTTCTGAAGAGCAGTCATCGTGTGTTTTGTAGTGGAGTATGATGGATGTTGTTTGGTGTGTGTGTGTGTAGGATGCTGTGCAGGTGGCAGCTGATGTTTCCCTGCTGCTGAAACTGCAGAGGAGAGTGGCTGAGCTGGAGAAGGAGAACATGGACATGCAAAGTGAGATGGACACCAAAGAAGAGCAGCTGATATTGGAGAAAGCTAAAGTAATTGAGGGTTACTGTGATTGACTCACTGTTAAGCACATTTCATTATTTGCTTTGGAGGTTTTTGAAACATCTTTGCAGAATATACCGTTAATGGTCATGATGATGCTGAATTAGATGATTCTAGATGTTCTGTGCACTTTTCGATGGCAAAATTAAAGTGACAAAAAGAGAAAAATAAGGAATAATTCACCAACAAATTAAAACTTACTCTCCTTTTAGTGGTTCCACACCTTTCTGAGTGTCTTTTGTTCACAAAAGATATTTTAAAGAATGTTGGAAATTAATTGTCATACTATAAAAAGAGAAAGAACTAAAAGGACATTAAGGGGTCATGAAACACCAAAACAAATTTTTTGAGATGATGACAGTCATATATATGTGCCACATTGCTAAAAACACTGTTAGGACACATATATTTAGCTAACAAGTGAAAATTGTTGGTTTTTGCATTGTTTTAAGCAAATTTGGTCTTCTGTTTTGAAAATAAATTTTGAAGCTACATCACGATGATTAGATCAGCACAGAGATTGTATGTCTGTACTGGTCGGTACAACGGGATGTCATTGAGCTTTCAGTATTAAACCAATCAGTGCGCTCTATTGTGAATGAGATGCAACTTCATTAATATGCATGATATAGTTTCGAAGACTCTTTTTACCTGTTACAGTTTTCTGAGAAATGCTACGTTGTACGGTTGGTGTGTTGCCAACCTTAATTGAAACCAGTAGTAGAATAATTTTTCGGAGACATGGGTCGTCAGTGTTGCGCTTATAAAAGTACCGCAACAAAGGTTTTGTTTCCATTTCCCTGGGATAAGAGCACCGATCAGTAGGCTTACACGGAATCTGAGCACGCAGATATTCTGCAGTTTTTTTGCCCATCATTAATTCTGTTTATTTACTTGAGTGAATGTGTGTAAATATATATTTATTAAGTTTTTACATTAATCATGGTAATATTATTGACTAATATGAAAATTGTTCATCTCATTTATCAACAATGCAGTTTGTACAGTAATATTTTAGTAGATGTATTATATGAGAAACTTGCTTTGTTTACCAAATAAAGCAAATTAATTTTAAATATTAAATAAAAGTTAAAAAGGTATTATTTTTTATTTCACATATTAAAATTTTAGTTATGATACTCCCAAAATAATATCGCAGAAATCCGCAGATTTTTATTTAAATTCTCTGCAGAAATAGCAAAAAACATCCACAGATTCTGTCTGGCCCTACCGATCGGTATGGCCCCACACGTGTGGAAGGAACATTTTAAATCCAGAGAGCTTTTTGAATCTGGAAATGGTGCAATCTGGATTTGCCGCTCGTCTTCTTTTTTTAAAAAAAAAGAGACGCGGTTTCAGTTTCTGCTGATTGTCCTGTCTTAAGTGTGTGATAAACATTCATTGTATATGTTGTTTATGTTACTCTAGATGGCAAGTTAGTTAGTATTGTCAGCAGTACTCTTTTAGTTTTTGAAGAAATACCTTAGTCAAAATGATTTAGTTACTATGTTTACAGTAATATCTCTATAATATGCTTTTCAGTTTCCAACATCTTTTAAAATATCATCTTTTGTGTTCAGTCGAACAAAAAAAACAGTGCAGGATGAGTAAATTGAATTATTGAATTTTAATTTTTAAGTGAACTGTCACTTTAAGCATCAGATAATTGTGATAATTCACTTGCATAATCCTTTTTAAATATAATACCTTAAAAATAGAGCTTTTAGTACATACAGTATTAAGCAAGTAAACTGTATTAGTGTTGCTAAAAATCGACTATAAAAGCAGCTCTCTTCAGTGTTTGTTTTTTACTTGATTCTGATGTTTATGAACTGAATAGAAATGAACCAGAGATAATTGCCATGTCAAAGAAAAGCCACGCCTACCTATAATCACCACAGACCAATGGTGAAGACTAAACCAACTGAAGTAAATTACAGTTTTGAAGCTACAACAGACTTTATATTGGCCTGATTTGGTTACAAAACATTCATCAGTTCATTTATTGGTTTCACTCAATCAAAAGGCTCAAAATATACATTTAATACAAACAAACTAAAACAGTCATTTCTTTCTTAACACCATGCTTGTTTTTTCAGGAGTTGGAAGATTGTCGAAAAACATTAGGGGCTGAAAGAGACTACGAGGCTCTGAAGGTACAAAAACACTTTTATTCACCAAATGAATTCAGTTAAATGTATTGGTGTGCATATGTGTGATGATCTGTTCCTTAGCGTCAGGAGCTGGAGTCTGACAATAAGAAGCTGAAGAAAGATCTTCAGGAGCTGCGTCAGTCTCTCAGTAAGGGGACCGGGTCAAAGGTGACGTCCCCTGGAGGTCGGGCATATAATGTGATCCTGGAGCAGCTCAACTCCACCAATGAGGAGCTGGAGGTGCGGAAGGAGGAAGTGCTCATTTTACGATCTCAACTAGTCAGCCATGAGGCCTTCAAACACAAGGTATTATGCCAAATTTATTTTCCTTTTATAGCCACTGACAATGTTTTATAATTAGAGTAATGGTTAATTAAAAAATGTAAAACTTAATGAAATAAATAAATATTAAGTGGTTTAAAATATACATTAAAAAGTATTTTGTTTTACTTTTAGGAATTAGGAACTGTAGGAGATTCAGGTGATTCGAGCAGGTTCGTCAGTCTTTATATTTCAAAACTTTTTTATTTCAAGTCCACAAATATGCGTTCACTCTTCAACATTCTTGCTTTTTAATAATAGAGTGTCCATTCTTTTCTCTCTCAGATCTCCAACACTGGACCTGACAGAGCTTAATGAGGATGGAGAACTCTGGATGGCTTATGAGAGCCTGAAGGAAACGAACAGGTGAAATTTACTATACAAAGACTTTTTCTCTTATATACCCTATTATACACACACGTACAAAGACCTGCAGAATTATTATTGTCGCCAAATGCAGCTTCCCATGTTATGCTTGTGATCTATAAAAAAAACTTAATCTGAGAATGTGCGCAGTTGAAATTAAATCTAAGTAAACATAGTTAACTTAATCCTTGTGCACTGTACTAATTTAATACCCTTAATACTAATTTAATACCTTTCATTATGTTCGGGATGAAAACATCCACTAGATTAAACTGCTAGAAATAGGTATCAGATAAATATATTTTTTAAATTCTTTTTTCTTTTTGCATAAATCATTTAAACAACCTTGGTGCTGATCAAAACTACTAAATTGTTCAGAAAATTACAGGATTTTGACTCTTAATTACCAAGCTCACAAATGTTGAGCTTGGTAATTCTGATTTAGTAAAAAAAACACAAAATGACGTATTTTCAATATAAATATAAGTAATTGTGGACTGGATTTTTTTTTTATCTTGTATCACAGTCTTGGTCTTGTGAATGATTAGTAATTCCATTGCCTTTGATGCGTTATTAGATTTTGTGAAGCATAAGATTTTAATTTTCTCTCCCTAATTTAATGTTTATAGCTGTATTTAGCCTATTAACTTCCATTATAACCACATTTTTTGATTGCCAAACCATGACATCATATAATCATGCGTTCTTGATTGTTGGTGGTCTTCCCTCATGGGAAGAGGTCAATTTTGCCATTTTTACTTTTGATCATCAGTTGGCGTCTTTAACACTTTAGATAATAAGCTTGGTTTCTTGATTTAAAAAAAAATGTATGGGGTTATATGGAGTGTAGCAGCAAATTAAAGTGTATGTGTGTGTGTGTCTATGAGTGCGTGAAAGTGACCTTTGCACACTTATCTTGATGCGTCTGGGAAAATATAAATATGCACTTCAGCTCTTAGAACTACATGGAGTAAACAAAAACAAAAACTGTGTATTTATGCACCGCTTGCCTTTTGATGTTGAGAATTACAGACTAAACAAAAACAAGGTAAGTGGATTTTCAGGCCATCCTGCTGGTCATTTGCCCGTACGAAGATCAGCAAGCACCATGAGAAAGGGCTTTACTTGTACCAAACTTTTAGAAATGGTTATCCTCCAGCGAGCTTCAGGATATATTGTCTTTCTCCCACTACAGACAACAATGCTGCAACGTTTCAAAGGCACAAAGACACTTTTTATTTAATTTGAAGTACCAAAATGACTGTGACTAAATTAAATAAAACTAGTACACTTTTGTATTTACAAAGATGACTTAAACATTCTGAAATATGTAAAAAAATAATAATAATAGTAAATAAATAAAAAAGCTCCTTTTTCATATCTGTAAAATGTTTAAAAATATATTTAATTCATAATTATAAATCACTATAGTCAAATAGACAATAGACAAAAAGTCATGCATGCTTAACTGTATATTAATTTGTGTATCATTTAAATGCATCTGTCTGCAGGATTCTGGTGTCACAGCTGCAGACGCAGAGAGAGATGCATGAGAAGGAGACGGAAAGCTTGAGGGTGGAGCTTCAGCACTTAAAGGCGGAGCTTGACCAGCAGCAGCAGATGTTATCGCAGAGTTTGGAGCTTCCACATGATGCTCGAATACAAGCCAGTCTACAGCACGAGATCAGCCGCCTCACGCAACAAAACATGGTGCTCATACACAATTACTGACAAATACACACAGTGATATATTACACTAAATTTTCTTCATTATTAAAATGATTTCTGATTATTGTAGGACCTCTTGGAGCAAATGGGAAAACAGGACAAAATGGTCCGCAAATTAAAGAAACAGCTCAAGATATACATGAAGAAGTTTGGGGAACCTGAAGGTAAAGAGTTCCCATTTTTAATCAAATCAGTGAATGTGAAAGTCAGTACAATCAGACAAAATGTTGATTTATTTTATTTACCTATTAAGATCAGTTAGCAGTTAAGCAGATTTATTTATTTAGTTTTATATATATGTATTTGTGTTTTATAATGTACTTATTTCGTTTTTATAATAATATAGTAATAATACTGAATTATTTGAAAATTGATATATAATTTATTTATGATACAATTTGTAAGTTAATATTTTATATTTCTTTCAGTAGGTGTATTATATGAGACTGCTACTGTATCTTTGATTACCAAACAAGTGGTTCTAACTTGAGTTTCATTCAAAATCTTCATTTATTTGTTGAAGTGTAAAACGAGATGAAAAGCCGTTTACACACACTTGCCCGCCAGCATAAGAAGGCTAACGCAGAAACATCTTTGAATATACTGGGGTAAAATAAATGTTAATATTTTAAAGACATGGCGCGGGGAAATGTAATTCAATGCAGGGACTTTTGTACGTTTTAAAACCCACTTTCTATCATATATCAATCCTATCAGTGAAGATCTTTGATTTTTACAGAAAACAAACCTTAAACGCACCGATTTTGTGACTGCATACAGTTCAACGGAAGCTTTTGACCCAGGTTACTGAAAGATTAAAAGTCCTTCTGCATATAATAGGATGTTTTTATGTGTAAAGTTTTTCATACATATACTCTCAAAAAACATTCAACATTAATCCACACATTATTTAATTTTTTATATACTGTTTACTTTTTTATATATATATATATCAGGGGTGGCTAACCCTGTTCCTGGAGATCTACCTTCCTGCAGATTTCAGCTGCAACCCATATCAATCACACCTGCCTGTAATTATCACATGGTGTTCAGGTCTTAATTAATTGGTTCAGGTGTGTTTGATATGGGTAGCAACTGAAATCTGCAGGAAGGTGGCTCTCCAGGAACAGGGTTGGCCACCCCTGATCTATATACTTTTTTTATTTTTACTATTTTGTATTAATATTTTTTAGTTTCTGTGCAGAAATTGCATAAAAGTCTTCAAATTCAAAAGACTTATAAGTTTCTAGAAGGTATGCTTTGGCGAGCTGTGTGACCTCCCAAAATGAAATTTAAATAACTCTGTTTTTTTTGTAACGTGTGTATGTATTGTACATTTTTTGACAGATTTAATTTGGAAAACTTGTGTAAGCACATTATACAAAATCTAAATTTATGCTTAAATGCTTTCTTTTT